GCATAAACTCAAATATTTTGGAGCTAAAAAAATGGTCATTATTTTGCTTTCTGACCTTACGAAAGAACTATATCACTGTCTCACGGGGACTAATCTCTTGAAATCCTGAGCCAGACTCAAACTCTCCATAAGATTTTGCATTATAGCTTTCTCGTTCTGGAGGTCTCATTCCTCACGTTTACCGTTGTCCTCATCTTTATCTCCTTTATTTTTTTTTCTTAATTCATGTAAAAGCTTGAAAAGAGGGGTCCTCAAGATAAAGTTCTAAATATGAATAAAACACATCTATACAATGGTTTGTGTGTAATTTTTCGTAAAGAAGATGGTCGAAATATGGTGTCTGGGAAAATATGTTGTGATACAACTTAGGATTTGATAGTGTTTTAAAAGGCGTAATATGCGACAAGGCGTGGAAGTCAAGCTATGGACTAGGTGAGCTTAGATAGGCATATGCGTTTTCTTATTTTAATTTTTAATCAATTAAAAAATCATTTAATAATTAAAAATAATGCATATCAATCATTTAAAACAGATTTATAGAAACTCTATACATTTTTTCAAAAGTTTTCAACAAAAAGATATATTTTAAATGTAAATCCACATTTAAGTTTTAATTTAAAAGAATTGTAAAAAAAAAAAAAAAAAAGAAGGAGAAGATAATAATGCGCGCATAGGTGTAAGATTTATAGAAACTCTATACATATTTTAAAAAGTTTTCAAAAAAAAGATATAATTTGAATGTAAATCCACATTTAAGTTTTAATTTAAAAGAATTGTAAAAAAAAAAAAAAAAAAGAAGAAGAAGATAATAATGCGCGCATAGGTGCTTATAGTCGTGCCTAGGCACGCATTAGCGGTCAATGACCGTTGACTGCTAAATAAGGCGCCAAGCCACTTGGCTTGACATTTTCGCCGCTCATCACGCCTTGACGACTTGTAGACGCGCCTTTTAGAACATTGATTATAGCGAGCAAAGTGGGATGTAGCTATCCAATCTTTTTATTCGGGACATTCATATGATGGTTAGACAACTGGATTGCAAGGAGTGGAGATGTACGAGAATTTATGGCAATTCTGGGCCAGAGCTAAGGGTGTTTACATGGGAACTGAGGGTGTTTACCGTATTGGACCATCACCATAGTCTGTCGCGACTTAATGGTAGGCGTGTGGGGGTGTAGAGAGAAGGCGTAGTCATGGGTTCCAGTTTGAGTCGATGTGGTTTATACTTTACGGATTCAACAAACTTTAGTTGTTTTGACTTACTTTATAACATCTTACCCAACAATCGAGTAGTTCAAATAGAGGATGTGGATGGCTTATCTTGATTCATTGTATGTGCACACTAATAAGCAAATAAAGTAGGTAGAATGACTGAAATTTGGGCATGACATGATGTTACCTTATGGTATTCACGTGGCGCGTATGGGTCTATGCACGGAAAGTTAGATTGCGATATCCTATCTTTCTATCTAACAAAATTAATGACTTCCGTGCATCAAATGCAATAGTCTTGGTTCAATGGATGAGGTGAAAAATATATAGATATATACATATTTTATAAAAAAAAACAAAGCCTCCCATGATGTTAAGGGTCTGATTTCACGTGCAAAATGGTACTAGTTTGTCGGCTCGTCAACTCATTTTCCAATCTATGTATGTGCCATGTGCTTCTTATTTGCAACACATGAGTGCAAAAATTATTCGACAAAAATTATCGCACTTACAAGTCTTTGAAGCGTTTAAGAAACTTTTAAATTATAGAAGTTTAAATCATCTTTCATGATTGTGTAAAATAGAGATTTAAACTTTTAAAGTGGTGAAAACATCTTATACAGAAAGATGCAAAGGAGATGCAAATTGCGCTTTCCTGAAGAAAATGTAAAATGAGATGCAAATTTGTATCATTTTTGCATCCACAAGAGGTAAAAGGTGGATTTAAATCTCGTCATTGAAACATAATTTGAATTTAGATCTATTGAGACGTAAATGAAGATGTAAAAGTGATTTTGAAATATCAATTTACATCCAATTTTACACAACTATTGGAGACCGTTAGAAGGGCGTCTTTGAAAATATTTTAAATTGAGTTTGTCATGTTACTATAGTCCTGTTTGGTACATATTATTTTTTTCATTCTCATTCTTCTACTCATTTTCAACCGTACATTCTTCAATAAAATAATATTTTACATCACATCAATAATTTTTCCTTCATTTTTAACCACACATTCTCCATCAATCTACTATTCAATAATACATTATTTCAAAAGAATGTATC